TGCTCCATAGTCCTAATTTAGTGAATCTGAACTGTAGTAAAATGTGTCCAGGCTGCATGTTAGTTATAGAAATTTTGTGTCTACCATTTTCTATATGAAAGAAAGTAAAAGAATACTTTGACAAAAAAGATTTACATTGAGCAATAATTAAATTATCATTACATCTACAAAAAGAGTTCAAAGGAAAATATCTCAATAAATTAATATTCTAGCATATTTTCATTTAGTCAGTCAAGAAAGAATTACTCAGGATGTTTGAGTATGTATCACTTTATAGCACTGTCTCAGCCTTCTAGGTACAGGGATACAAAAGTAAACCAGGCAGAAGTGTGACTTTGTCTCCAACAAAGCTTACCAGCTATTCTTTGTTTTCAACCTTTCCAAAGTGCTAGGGACTTCAATGTTTTTCATTCTTCTTCATGAATACAGGAAATAAGATATTATAAGATTCAAATTTTTGTAATTTTTACTATGGAAAAAATAGATCTATTGAATATTTCTTTTCAAACTGCACATATTTCATGGGTAACTCATTTCAATCCCACATCTAGTTAGGAACACCTTGGCAGTGCACATTTTAGTAACCTTGTTTGATTAATGACAGCTATTATTGTTGGTTTGTTTCCCTTGTTGAAGATCTCTTCCCATCTCTTCACGACACCAAGCACATAATATTAGAGTAGATCTCATCCAACTGATAAGGTTGTTCATGAGAAAGAGAAATGGAGCTTGTGAGAATGAAAGACAAAGAGATAAACTACATTCTGTGGGGTATATTGGTAGTCCCACCCAAACAGGTATGATCCAGACTCCTGCCGGCCATTTGCCCTTCTTTATTTCCCCTCTAGAATGACCTCATTTTCCTCATGCCATTTTAAGAATTGCTTCTACAAAGACAGCTTTCTCCTTCATTTTGCTGGCCTTATCCTCTCTAGCTTCCCACAACAGTGACTACCACTATAACCACTACATCATGGTTTGGGGGTTATTGCAAGGAGAAACAATATAATACAGGACACATATTTTATAAGATTATTTATAATAGTCACCCAAAGAATAATATACAAGAGAGTGTAGGACATCTGTTCACACACTAAAGACCAAAGAATTCAGCTGAAGGTATGGATCCCATGATAATGGCCTATATGAGTTTAGCTAAAGACCTAGAGCCTACAACAATGCCTCCCACGAGTCCAGCTGGAGGCCTAGGGACCACAACAATATCTCATGCAGGCTTGTTCCACGGATCTGCAATGGGAAGGCCCAAAGCTCAGTGGTGGAATCTAGGAAGTCTGTGCCAGCAGAATGAAGGATCTGTGCTAGAAGGCTGAGGGATCTACACTGGAGATAGGAAGCGATGCCACAATAAGTACCACAGTCATCCTCAACAACAGTGAGGTCCCTAGTTCCTCCCATGACCAGAACAGCTGAGTATCAATCAGGAAAGCTAACATGACAAAGTTCTCCAGGAGACTGAGCAGTGCACCATCCTCCTCTCCAGAGCCAGAAAGCAATGCTCAAAGTGAGGACCCAGAGCTTCCCCAAAATGAACCAAAAACATTCTCAGTGACAAGGTCCTGAGCTCCTTAGAAGATGAGGACAGCCAAGCTCATCAGGAAAGTCTGCATGACAAGCTCCTCCAAGAGAACCAACAGATCCTTACAGCTTCTCAACAGCTTCCAACAGGCTCCCAACAGTTTCTACCAGCTTCCAACAGCCTCTCTACAGCTTCTACCAACTCCCAACAGCCTGCATTCTTCTTCTCCACTTCTGCCTCTTATACTGATGGCTACAATACTCTATATCTCACAAGTCATACTCACTTTATTACTTCATTATTATATGGGTCTTCTGCTGACTCCAGTCTCAAGGCTTTCCTCTTATTCTGATTGCATACCTGTTTGCTCTTACTTGTTTAGTATGACTACTAGAAAAGTTACCTCTGTGGCTCATATTTGTGGCTTATGTTATTTTGTGTTAGACGCTTCTACTCTATGAATATTGGGTAAGAGGAAATAACTATTCTATGTACTTCTTCCACTCACATCTATCAAGGGAAAAATCCATGACTTTTCATTTTTTGTAATTTTCTGAGAATTCATTTCCTATTTTTAGTGATTCATAAAATATTTACATATGGAAATATGTGATATTTGATACATGCTATTGCCTTTTTTCTAATAAGAATGTTCAGAAAATTTAGGAAATTTTAGAATGGTTATTGGAATTAATTGAGAATAAGATTTATTAAACTTTGGTTTCTCAAATAGGACACTTGGAAAGTTGCAGCTATAATTTATAAAAGTGGGGGAGATGGACATTTCCATTCCAGTGAAGTTAGCAGGGGCCGACTTGGGAGATGCTTTTACAAGGGAAAAGCCCATGCCCAGGCTGGGTCTGATCTGTATGTGTCCATGTATACAGAACCATAGTTCTTATATGCCTGGCTTCACAAATTTCACTTTATTGTAAAATGCTAGTGTTGACCTTTTTATAGATACGGTGTGTTGGAGGAGAAGTGTATTCTTTAATCTGTAGTACCTAGGGATTCAGAACATAGAAGCTTATTCCTTCATGGAATTGGGGAGTAGAAAATCTCTAGTGTAGAGATATGATTTGAGTGGAAAATGGAGTCTCCAAGGAGACACCATGATTATCACAACTCAGATGTAAACACAGATGTCAGTTTCCTGTGTGAGGCTCTGCCTCTGGGTACTACACAGTTGTTGCAGATTTCCAAACATGAGATTAGATCTTCTTTATTGTATCACTAGATTGTTCTTCCCATACTGAAGAGATCATTTTCTTCTGTTATATCTGGGGTGGACTTTTTGGCAGGAGGCCAGTGAGATGAATACTTCATATTTCTCCATGGAGTAGTCCCAGGGTCATTCTGCAGTGGCAAAGGTGGCCTGATGCCATCAGCACTTCACATTCCTAAGGATTCTGACAGGACTATTTTTGCTTATATTACTACAATTGTTTTCTCCCAAAACATTTGCCACAGAGAGAAAATAAGGACTAGCATCAGGTTCTCAAAAAGATAAATCCATGAGCATCCTAATGTAATACATCTTGGAAGAATTCTTTCACTCTAACTTCATAACCAATGGTATGAAGGACTCTAAGCACCATCAGTCGTTTTACTGAAGACAGCACTGAGGATCTTCCTGTTACTGGACTTGGAATGAGGTGGGGGATGGATAGTGTGGAGTGAAAATTCCAGTCACTGTGAAGTGTGACAGGTCCTTGATATCCTGTGGCTTTCCTAGGTAAGAAGATCTAAATTTTTTCATATTCTAGTTATTTGGCCTTGAGCAGAGTCCAGTATCTATGCTAACGTTAACCAGCCATTTCTGAAGTAGGGATACCAGTTACCAGTGCAGAGCCCAGGGCTGAAAGGAAGAAAACATTAAAAATGAACACAGGAAACACTTGATAGCAAATCTGAAGAAGGGATATTTGACTGAGCTTTTATTCTTTTTTTATTTTAAAAAATAAAAGAAGGAAAACATAACAGACAGACATCCATTTATAAAATAGCATCAGAGCAATACAAACAAAACAGAGTTACAGACAAAGTTGTAGGAAATTAACAATGGTTGTTGTATTACTTATTGATATTGTCAAAGTGATTTCTCAGGAAAACAAATAGAGACATGCAAGATTGATCAAACAAGTAATCATTAACTGTTCCTTTCTGTAGAGCAACAGAAGACAGTAGTACAACTGTGTTAGCTATCCTGTATATACATACTGACATAATTTCCCCTACTTTCACTTCTCTTTTCCCACACCCCAATTGCCCTTTACTTTTGAGCATTTTCCTTTTGTTTCATAACCTCTATCACACCTCCTAGCTTTTATTCGCTCTTTCAGATCTTACACTAGTGAGACAATATGAGGCTTACAATGAGCTTCTATTCTCCAATTAATGACGTATGTGTTTTTCGTCTTAACTATGTGTCAGGACTATACTGTGTAACATGGATATATAGTGAAGGAGGGAGATTGTCTTCATGAACAAAGTTGTAGTCTAGGAAGAGGGAAGGCACTAACTAATTCATTATACAAACACCTACTTATATCTGACCCTCTATCAATAGAATTTTACTCTATTTCCCTCTGGGTTTGTAAGTTTTAGTCAACGTTTGGAAGCCTCATCCACTTGTAAACCCTGCCTCACTTTTAACTTCCTTACCATCAATTTCCCTCTATGTCTCATTTTAAACCTGACTTTTCTCTCTATACTTTGTTCCTTATTTTTTCCACATCCCTCACTCTCTTCCCGTACTGCATTCCAGATTTTCCCACCTGTCTCCTGGTTTATGCACCCTCACCCATTCTTACACTGTCCTGCTAGCCCTTACTCCACCTCGGAACCTTAGACAACATTTCAGCTTCACTCCGTTCCCCACCCTGTTACTCTTACTCAGGTGTGACCTTCTCCGGTCTACATGCCTCATTCTGTCAATCACCACACCAACCAGATTTATACCATCCTTCAACTTCGCATCTTTCCTCACTGCATCCCTGTACCTCACACAGTGCTGACCCTTGCTTATCTGAGGATCTGACCCATACTGCCTTGGAGGAGCACCCACCTGAGTGAAAGCTAGGGAGTAGAGGTGACTTAGTGGCATATGGTACATGATGTTGTAACAATGCAAACATTCAGTATTTTAATGTTATGAAACACATGTGCAGGTTAAAACATCAATTCCATTAAAGTTGTTGTGCCAAATTATCCTGGGCTTGATGTTTACCTTATCCTTAAATCCTAAACCTTCCAGAAGCTCTTGCATACTTCAATTGCTCAGACTTCTCACTTTGAGGAACTCTGAAACTGTCCTCTGATGGTGCAGTTCACACAAATCAGAAGATGTTGCTTCCTATCCAGAGTCGGAAAAAGGGCACTTGAGTGCAGACCTTTGATGGGAGAGAAATGACTCAGAGAAGCTCAGTTTTCCTCTAATTAGGCTCTTCTTTCACTTTCCTAGATGAACTCCCACAGAAGAATGATGGATGGAAATTACTCCTTCGTGACAGAATTTATCCTGGAGGGCTTAACTGATTGGCCAGAACTCCAACTCCCTCTCTTCTTCATATTCCTAGGGATCTATGTGGTTACTGTGGTGGCCAATCTGAGCTTAATTACCTTAATCTCGCTAAATGCACACCTTCACACACCCATGTATTACTTCCTTTTTAATCTGTCTTTTGTAGATATCTGTTATTCTTCTGTCTTTACCCCCAAAATGTTGATGAACTTTGTATTGGAGAAAAACACCATCTCCTATACAGGATGTTTGACTCAACTGTATTTCTTTTGCTTTTTTGTCATCACAGAATGTTACACACTGATAGCAATGGCTTATGATCGCTATGTCGCCATTTGCAAGCCACTGCTATATAATGTTATATTATCTCCTCGGGTCTGCACTATCTTTGTATTTGGGGCATATGTGATGGGATGTTGGGGTTCTCTGGCCCACACTCTCTGTATGGCGAGATTGACATTCTGTGATGCCAATATCATCAACCATTATTTGTGTGACATTCTCCCTGTGCTCCAGCTTTCCTGCACGAGCACCTATGACAATGAGGTTGTGGTCTTTGTTCTGGTTGGCTTGAACGTTTTGGTGTCTACAAGCACCACTTTTATCTCCTATGGTTTCATCATCTCTAACATCCTCCGTATCAGCTCCACACAGGGGAGGATTAAAGCCTTTAACACCTGCAGTTCTCACATAATGACTGTTTCTCTTTTCTTTGGGGCAGCATCATTTATGTACCTTCAACCTTCTGATGTAGAGTCTATGGACCAGGGGAAAGTGGCCTCCATCTTTTACACAAATGTGGGGCCTATGCTGAACCCCTTGATCTATAGCTTGAGGAACAAGGACGTCAAACTTGCTCTGAAGAAGACTCTGAGAAGAAAAGTATTTTCCTGAGTAGCAACAAAGAAATTGTACAGGGAATTTTTGGATTTTATCAGGATTTCCTCATGGCTGGATACTCACATTAATCAAAGAGAATACATTTGTTCTTTTAATTCAGAGTCCTTTTTTATTTAAGATCTTTCTAAGCCAGATGTGGTGGAGCACACCTGTAATCCCAACACTGTGGGAGACTGATGTAGGTGGTTGCAAATTTGAGGCTCTCCTGAACACCTTAGTGACTTATTGAGAGCCTATCTCAATAAAGGTGTAGGCTGTAGCTCAGTGTGGAGGACCTGTCTTCAATTTCCAGTAATAATACACACAAACTACACACACATACACACACCCCCCACACACACCACATGATACTTTTCAATTATTCTTTCCTCTTCTTCTCTTGGCTTTTATGCAAGTAATTATATAATTGCAATGTTAAGAAAGTATTACTTTGCTATTTGCTATGTGGAAAGAAAATATTAGTTTGTTATTTGCTATCTATCTCTTGGACAAATAGATACTGTAACTGAATAACATCACAAAGTATCTATCCACACACCACCCTGATATGTTGATGACAGCCTGATTCTATTAGGTGTGTCTTTTGTGTGATAGTGCACTTTATCTGACAAAAACATCACTTCAGATTTGCTCATGAAGATAAGAATAGTGATTTGCTTCTTTTATTCTTTGCTTTGTAAACAGTTGCATAATTAAAACATCATTATTAGAGAAAAATATAAAATGGCAATCAAAGTATACATGTATTGAAAATAAACACCATGATAAAAACTGCCTTTTACAATTTGGTTTCAATTAACCTATGCAATATCAAGCTATTTTTCCTTTATAGTTCGTAGCACATTTTGTTATCCTATGCTACCATCCACTTGACATTGCTCCCACTAAGTAAGAATTATTTGTCTGATGCCCTTAACAAATCATGAGCTTCTGGAAAGATGGACCCTATCTCCGCACATTTGCATCCTGATGTCTGACATGCTTTCTATTCCGAACTCACTCCAGAATTGGTACTCTGAATATTATAGAGTAAAAAGAGTTGTCATGTTGCTCAATTTTTTTTGTTTGTTTATTTTTCTTCTGGTACCAGGAATTGAACTCATGACCTTGTGCTTGCCAGGCAAGCACTGAGCTAAATCCCCAGCCCCCATGTTGCTCAATTTTTAAAATGCAAAATTAAAACTTTCTCTTTGCAGAATGAAATGTGATGAACACATTACAATTACTTTATATAAAAACACATGAAATAAAATGCTTACAAGATCATTGAAATGTTTATTTTTGTATCTACTCCTAACAAATGCTTTCATTTTCATTTTTCAGAAAGTCAGCATACAACATAGATGTATATTTTTATTTTTATAGATTTACAACATAAATCTTAAGAATCACTTTCAAGTTGCTATGGGTGCATATTTAAGGTACAAATAGAATATGTGCGAGTGTTTGTTTAATTTCTGACAACAAAAATTGACTCCACTGAGTACTGGTAGCATGCTAGAGAAGTAGTATTTGTCCTAGAGTTTCGTTTGAAATGAAAAGCAGATTTTCTAATGGGAAGCATATTGCTTCTGTCATCCCAAGTAAAGTTGTGCAGAGGAAGAGAGAGCAAGGAACTTTAGTGAAGTTAAGTGAAAAGGAAATTTTAAAAGTGGTGGAACTGTAATATTTCAATGACACTCAGCAATTTTCCATTTTCTCTCTAGGGTGAAAATAAGCTGTTTGCTCTAGAAGAGTGCTTTATTTCAACAGAAAGAGGAAAATTACCTTGAAAGGCTATCCTAGAAGTCCCAAAACTTTTAAGTTTGTTATTTGATACTGATGTTTTATTAATTTTACTAAACTCATCTCAAATTTGTTTAAAAGCAAATCATCTGATATAGCTTGTGAAGCCTCTTAGTTACACTGAGTTTGCCGAAGAAGATGCTATGATTTAGACTAAAATGTCCACCAAAAGGCTCGCATGTTAGTAAGGTGTTCGGATCACTGGGGTGCTATACCCATCAGTGGATTGATTCATCCATTGGTGAGTTCAGTAGCTGAATGTGCTGCCAAGAGATGGGGCCTGACTGGAGGTGGGTCGTGGGGGCCATGGCCCAGAAAGTGTATTGTTGTTGCCAACTCCTCCTTTTGCTCTGTTTTTCTGGATCCCATGATTTGAACACCTTTTCCTTCACCATGTACCTCTGCTGCGCTGTTTCTATCTCAGAGCCAGCTGATCATGGACTAAAATCATAAAGAAGAAAAACAAAACCAAACAGAAACAAAAAAACCCCACTCTTTCTTTCGGTTGTGAATATGTGGCATTTTTCTCATAGAAAAGAAAGTGACTAAGATCACAATCAATTGTTATGTATACTTGAAGGCAATTAAAAATCACAATCAATTGTTATGTATACTTGAAGGCAATGACGTGATGAATCTTGCCTCTCATAATTTTACCTTTATCAAAACTGCACCATTTTCTCCCAGAGTGGTACCTCCATTTTCTCCCTGAGAAACTTTCCTTCTAATATTGCTGACAGGCTTCACACATGTGTCCTTACTTCATGCCTTCATTTCTTTGCAATTCTCTTGTCGCTTCATTCTGAGAAATAAGACTGGGGTGCCTAAAAATTCAAAACTACTCTAGAAAATTTGGATAAATCAGACTGAAGAGGACTCCCTCAGAAAAAAAATAAATAATTAGCAAACAAAAACTGATTCACGTGAGTGGAAAGAATTGTATACAACAAAGAGAAACATTAAAAATTCACTGATTTCTGTTAGCACTCTATGGATCCATAAAAGGTTATTGTGGAACACAGAGTGGATACTTGGATGCTGAGGTTTCTCTCCTTGTGGAAGTCTCTAACTTAGGAGTAAATAACTGTTTGCCTTTCTTCTGTCTCTTTTAGACAGCTGCTCACTCTAAAGGAAGCATTTACCATATGACCGTAGAGAGAAGTAAACCTGGCGACCACACCTCAGACTTAATCATGTAACTGAGAGTACCACAAAACCAATTTATTTTAAGATATGGTAGCACAATCACCAAATGTATGTGTTAAAATAAATAAACCACTTCTCCCAAGTTCAGAACTCAGAAGAGAGTGATGTTATATATTATGCTCTTGAATATCTACTGTAAACATGTACTAATGAAAGTAAAAGAAGAAAGAAAAGGAAAACCAAAGAGTGTCTACTAGAAAACAAAAACGCAATGAAAAAATATCAAGTTGTAAAAAAAAGATAATGGGTTACTAAAAATAACCAAGGTGCTATAAAAAGATGATACATATTTAAATTAGAACTAAATGAAAGAAATTTCTAGAAAGAAATATGTAAACATTGAAATTAGAAGTGGATGGAAAGAATACAGTGATATACTAGACAAAATTGAAGAGCAAACAGATAAAAGATGGAACTGAGTAAATTATATCATGTGCAGCAAAGGATAAAAAAGTAAGCAATATGACAAAGAACCTAAATGACACAAAAGAAAGAGAAAGAAGTCTGATAACAGCCCAGAAAGTTCCAGAAAGGCAGAATTATATTTAAAAACTCATGGATCCTTATACACAAAAAGATAAATTTTAAACAACAACTGCTGCTTGTTATTTTACCATAGTACAGTTTTAGTATCGTCCAAGGCAAATAGAAAGAGAGCAAACATGGAAGAGCAGGAGACAGAGAGAAAGAGATATTCTTACATAAAAAGGAAACAGACAGAGAAAATTCTCTACAGCAAAAATACAGTCCACAAACACTGGAATAATATATCACCCATGCTGTGAGAAAATAAATGTGTCAATCTGGAATCCTGTGTGCAGGGAAGGGTGCATTCCTGAAAGACAGTGAAATAGGGCAGTTTCAGATGAAGACCCAGCAGCTTTGTATTCACTGTACACTACATTCTCACTGAAAGAACATTCAACAGATACACTTTACAGTTAAGGACATAGGGTCAGGAATGGAAGGATGAGAGAAAATGGAGTGCAAAGTAGTTAAACATGTTGGTAGCTTTAAGCGGGTACTCACTATATACAAATAAAATATAATAAGTACATGGGGGTATCTAAAATCAAGAAGGCATTAACTTGCCGAACAACAGTATGCAAAGATTAGGAGAAGGCTGAGCTTAGACTTAAAATAATCTGTGATATTTGAATTCTTTGAGAGCACAGTATGTATACTGTTTACTTTAGACATTGTGATGCGAAAACATGCGCTAGAATTCATGAGTGACCTCTAAAAAGTGAAAAAATGTAATTTTCAAATGAGAAGAGTAAAAAGAAGTTTTAGAAAGTATGTTTAATGCAATTAAATGAAGAAAAGTGAAAAAAGTAGCTGAACAAAAATCATAATAAAGATAAAGTACTAAAAATCAACTCAAATATATAATTAACAATAACAAATGCAAATAAAATAACACCAGTACTCAAAAGAGGAAATTGCATATAAGAAGGGAAAAAAATTCCCAGTCCTTATCCCAATACAGCTATTACTATTTAGAAGGATCAACTGTAAATCTGAAGAACAAAGAAAAATTGAAAATAAAAGTTATGAAAATGAAATTTCGGGCAGCAAGCTACCAAAGCAAACTGGCATAGCTAAATCAATACAAAGGGAAATGCACTTTAAATATGATAATTCAAGATAAATAAATCACTGCATAATTATACAATGATAAGGTATAATAACTTCAAATATATACACACATTTCAATAAAATCATAAAATATATAATATAAAAAATCTCAGAATTTCAAGAAGATATCAACAAATCTAGAAGCAAAGTATTAAATTTTATTATGCCTCTCCCAGAAATTTATAGATCAAGGATAGTTTATTTATTTATTTATTTATTTATTTATTTATTTTTTTCCGGTACCGGGAACCGAACTCACGACCTTGCGCTTGCCAGGCAGGCGCTTTTGCCGCTGAGCTAAATCCCCAGCCCCCGATCAAGGATAGTTTAAAAAAGAGACAATTTGAAAGATAAAATTAATAAGTTA